AAATAGAAAATATATGCTTCAATTATGGTAATTTAATATACAAGTTTAATATAGTATCGAATAATATAAAAATATAAAAATGTATTTGTAGTTTTTATTTATCTGCTCATTTGAAGTTTTGATATTTTTTCTAATGACAAATTATTTTTTCTTTCCATTTTCTCTTATGCAAATCCTCAAATCTTTCTCAAAAGATTAAATATCGACCACTTCACTCAATAATACGCAATCGGAGAGATCGCAAAACTGTCTCAATAAGAAAAGATTTTCAGCAAGGAATTTCTGCAGCACAAAAATAAAAATCTTTTCTTTCCATGCAAAAGATTGGTCGCGGTTCGTGGCTATTAAAAGTGGAACTATTTCAATCAAATCGCCGACGTTTCTTCGAAAGAAAAATTCTCTTGCGATTATTTTCAGCTTAACCTTTGGAATGCAAAGATCGCTCTAATTTTGTCGTTATCGATTACTATTTTCGCGACGAGAACGTGAACAAAAGTCCGGACGCTTTAATTCGTCGCAAATTCGAGCAAATAGAAATACGATCGGAAGATCGACGAGTAAAACCACCGACGACTCGGAAACATAATTGGCACCTTACGTCCACTATTGGACCGACGTGGGCTGCATTTTTTAGCAGAGTCGGCTACCTCGTTTCGCGAAACGTGACTTTTCGCATAAACAGATAAGTAAAGAGAGGAAATAACAAGGAAGGAGGAAAGAAGAAAGAGAGAAAGAGAAAGAGAAAGAGAGAGAAAAAGGACAATGACTTACGCACGATTTAATTTGCACGTCGCGCGCGCGAAACAAAACAGGAATACGCATGCAAAATATTGCACAGGCATGCGATACGATCGTTCCCGTTTTCTCACCCAGTTGCATGTAGGAATGCATTTAACCTCGTCGTATAATATATCGTTCTTCTATAGGTGAGAATTTTCTTGAGGCGAATGTGTAGTTTCTAGCCACGAAAGAAGGCAGCGACATGCATTCGGGAAAAATTAATGCATGAATTTGAAATGAATATAAAAAAGTATCGCATTCAATAATTTGAAAAAGTATATGTGTGTATTTACGTGAAATGATAAAGCTACTGTTATGACGATGTTATTTTTATTAATATATTTTTTTATAAATAAATATATATTAATAGAAAGAACATCGGATATGTCAAGTAAACATATTTGATCTGTTTTATGCAGAATACAATTATAAATTATCGAGTCTGGATGTGACAACTAATAATCTATTTAAGAGTTCATCGATTTTATGTGTTATCGAACCAATAACACGTACAGAATGGATTTATTTGAAATAATATTCGAAAAAATATTGAATTTCCTTATATTTTCCCAAGTACTATTAAATCTATAATATAGATATTCTAAAAATAAAAATTAGACTAAAATTTTTTATTTGAAATATCGAAAACTTGCAAACTTATAAAGAGAAATAATATATTTTTTTATAATGTAATTGGATATATTAAGCAAAAATAATCTAAATAAAAAAGGTAACGAAGGCAATATCAAAATAGATATTCAAAGGATGCGAAAAAAATAAGGAATTCCCTAAATCCCCAAAGTATAGAGCGCAACTTTACTTGAAGTTTCCGAATAGTCTATGAAATAATGATAATAATATGAGGAAGAGAAGGCGAGAGAAGAGATACGCGCGGCGTTTCACTTTGAGAAATGCCCAGTTTCTGTCTCTCTCCCTTTTCGTCCTTCTCTCGGTGGCGGCGATGATTTACGAATGATTAAATTTGCAAGAGCCGTTCTTTGAAACGCAACAATAGTGGAGTCCCTTTTTCGCGTTTGTCTCGCGCGGAAAAATATCTCACGGAGGGAATATCGTCGCCGTTGAGACGTTGATACTCCCTCTCTCACGTAGATTTTCTCTCTGCGATGCGGCATGAAAGATAAAAGCGTGAATTTTGTGTACGAATATACTCGGATGTGAGGAATGAACATATTCACGAGTCAAAAAAAAAGAAAGGCGGAACTAAAATGAGAGATACACATTTGCTTGATGTAACGAGATGTAACGATTTCGCGCAAAATCACTTTGGAATTTTACCAAAGGATGAAATATGCCAAGGCGATAATTGCCAAATCGGCCAATTCTGCGATAATCGTACCGTCATGTATAATTTTCTGCTATTATTATCTTTGGAATATCGGTTTATACGTGTTTCATTTGGATTATACATGTATGGCGAGTTTCGTTTCGAATTCTATTTTTATCTTCGAGTTTATGAAATAAAATGGCAACAATAAAAAAGTTGATAATTCTCACATCTCGTTTTTCAATCGAAAAAAATATAGCGATTAATAAAAGAGAAATCTAAATAAAAAAAATATTTGTATTATTTTCAATATGCGTTAAAACATATAATCTTTCAGCTTTCGAATTTATTCTATTATTAATATTTAAAAAAAAATGAAATATCATTGAATCTTTATATTTTTCTAGAAATATATTATTTATGTTTTTTTTTATATTTCCAACTAAAAGTCAAACTGTTCGCTTCATTTCGTTTATTTGATTTCTTTCTTCCGGATGGTTTTAAAATATTTCAGTCTTTATTCATTAGAAAATTCTGTTAAGTAATTACTTTCGTGAAAATCACCTTCCTTCTTGATTAGGAAAAAAGGTTGCTGGGATAAGGATTAAGTACTTTCCCTCCACAGTTACTGAAAACGGTGAGGATTCTTACCCCGTAAGCGTACTTACGGTTTAAGTAGGGTTAATCGAGATAATTATCGTACTTATCCCCATTGTTATAACAAAGAGCTACTTTTCCCCATTGTCATAACTGTCGTCATTTGTGATGCCACAATATTTTGTAACAATGAAAATTCCTTACAAGTTCGCTCGAAAACAGATGCTGCTTTCTCAAATAATGATGAAAAAAATGAGAATGTTTATAAAATAACTGGCATAAAATACAATGCTTTGGACAAAGATAGTTCATTAGTCTTTATATGTAATAAATTAAGAGTAAAGATGCATTAATCTTTTAACCTCATTATTATTCAACACTCGTTATGAAATGTGGGATTTCTCTTCGTCTTATAAACAAAACAATATTAAAAATAGTAATTAAAAACATTTCACAAGTTTGTGTTATTGTTCATTGGATTATAAATAATTAATGTGTGAAATAATAAAAATTTATTTATATATTAAAAAGAAATTAAAATTTTATATTAAAAATATTTAGTTGATTTTATTTTTTACACATACACGCATGAATCAGAAATATTTCAAATATATTTTTTTTTATTTTAACTCAATTAAAGTAATTATTATGTTTATTATATACAAGCAGTAGAATTTTTTATATTATTTTCGATAGAGCTCTCATGTTCTTTTATCTTCCTTTTCCATGTTTTATTACGTCATGTTAATTTATAAATTAGCATTAAATAAATAATATTTTTCAAATAAATGCATGCACTTGTTTTGTTATTTTTCTATTTTTTTCCTTATTAACGCACACTTGAAAAATAAACTATAATATATATGTATATATATTCGACCAATATGAATTAAAAAAATTATTAATTCTTTAAATAATTCTTTCAAAGTTGCTATTTTAATATAAATTATTGCGTTTCAAATTAATACTTTCTGGGTACACGAATATTTCGTGACGAAAAATAAAATTTCAAGTACTTTATTCAAACTATTCGAATGATTTTCAACAGTCTGCATTCAAAATATGTCCGATGGCGAACGTAACTCCCGTCTGTTTTCCGGAAAACGGAAAGCGCATATGCGCGTAGGATGAACGAAACGCAGTCACAGTCTAAATTTGTCACGTCGATGCAGCGTCGGATTTGTCGAATACCTGACAAGCGACGAGTCTATCTGTAGCTGTAGATGTTACTCAATGGCATCTCGACAGGGGCAGGAAGAGAAACCGATGTCACCGATACCATAGATCTCAACGAAACGACGCGACGACACGAGATGCAGGCGATAGCATCGGCGAAGGAGGCAAAACTCATTTCTCTCTCTCTCTCTCTCTCTCCCTCTCTCTTTCGACCTTTACGTCCATCTCGTGCAAGGATAGATAAAAGGACGTTTGCGCGCGCGCTTCTCGCGCCTGTCACGCATAAATCCACATATTCTCCCCACGGTCGCTGCCGTGCAACGGATATACGGAATACCGGAGATAACGTCCCATATTTCGAACGTGTGTGCACGGCCGGAATAAACGCGCCGTATACCGAAATACGAAAGATAAATGCGACGTATCGCCGCGATGTGTAAGCGACGAGTACGTAAATTCATTCGCGCGCGTAAACACACGGAGAAGCGGAAACGAAACGGAAACGAAACGCGTACCGCGGGGGGTTCGCGGGAGAAACACGACAGACCGCGCCGGACGTGCCGACGAAAATCGCGAGAGAACGCCCTGAGGAACGAGATGGATGCGCGGAATATTTTTATTTTATTCTATGCCGCGCGTCCGAGCGTCTTTGAAGCTCTCCGACAGATCGCGACATATGGAAAAATACGATTACATGCGGATTGTATAATATCCATATGTATACAGGAAACCGATATGAAAAGATATAAACCGGGGAGCATTATATTCCCTTATCAAGAAAATAAATATTCCTTTCGTATGGTAATATTTACGGAGTCCTATCTACATTACTATAGATATTAATATTTATCTTGTTTACCGGAAGCACACCTTGCGATAAGGAAATTTATTTTGTCCATAGAAAGATGTTTCTTTTTATGCGTTTCATTATAAAAATTATATGAAAATGTAATTAGACTTAATTAAATGGGATTATTAAAATTTTTTGCAAAAAATAAGAGACAGGAAATGTATTGTTATCTCGAAAATGATGCATTTCCGTAAATTCTAAAGGAAATAAAATACTTATTTCTTGACAAAAAATATGAATAATATCGTATATTCCATATGGGACACTTCGTATACATCGGATAAAGATTTTATAGCGAAATAATAAAATTACCGAGTGTTAGCGAGACCTCGACGAAAGGAGTGAGTTGTTTGCGCACAAACGCGGGTTTTACTTTGCACACGACCGAGGAGAACCTGCAAAAAAAACCACTTTTATATATTCTGAAAAATTTGCAGCGGAGTAAATAGAGTTATAAGTTACGAGAAGAGGGGACGGAGGGGAAAGAATTTCATGGATGGACGTGATATTGCTCGTGAAAATAAATTAACATACAAAGTTGGAAAAGGAGAAGTTGTATGCCAACCACGGTAACGCAAATCTCTGCGCGTTTTATATTATAGACAAAGTTTATTCAAAGCTACTCGGCGGCCTTAACTCATTTTTGCGTAACACCGTATAATCGCTACGTAAGAGGATGATCCAGGAGCATTACGTAGCATTTTTTGTTGCTTCTCTCCTCGTCTTTTATAAATGTCTCCTGGGATATAATACTATTTTTTCCCCCCGCTGCCTCTCTCTGCCCCGCTAATTTTTCATTTCAATCCCCCGTAGAACTCCCGTAGAACCCGCCGAGATCGCCGACAGCATCTCATATTGTATCGTGTCTAAAGTAAGAGTCCCCTATTACTATTTACAAGCGAAACGGCGAATTCTCATCTGGAGAAAAAATTGTTTCCCGTGCCGTATCAGCTGCTAAGATGTCGAGCGAAAATAAGCTTTCGATCGATTCCCGATGTCACATCGCGGTAACCCCGTCATTTCTACAGCGAGGTGATACTAATACGCTATTGACCAGATTTATCCCATTTCTCGTCAAGCCTCAGCGTTGATCGAAAAATGGCTATCCCGTCGAGCGGATCGAAAGAGAGGGGAAAAAAGAGGGAAAGCAGCAGCGAGATTTATCGATGAGATTCTCGCTTCGGCGATGTGTCAAGTAGCTTGCGCAGCGGGATAAATTAATGATGCCGCCACCTCGACGTGAGGTAATAAAGTGTTTCGTAGTGTATGCGAAATTAAATGTAGGAGCTTAATCCTTTGCGCGCGAGAGCATCATCTTTAACATCGTGGGATTAACACTATGGTCTGGGTCACTCTGTACCTTATCAATTAAAAACACTGGGCTTTAATCCCAAATCTGTATTCATACCTAGCGCCAAACGAGGCCATTTGTTCTCGAATCTTATTCGTCTACTATATAAAGTTATCGTGCTTAGAATTAAAGCAAAATAGAATTAAAGTCGAGTACGAGATTCACGTTCGAATTGTTCACTTGTACACTTCCAACTACAAAAGCTGCCTCGAGCAATCACGATTCGGATGCTTTCGCGAGATAAAAAGATAGAAAGGCTGTTTTCTGTTATTTAAGCAAATTGTTATCCGTGTAAATAAGAAAATAAACATTTGACTATTTTGAAAAAATAAATGCCATTTTTTTATGTACAAACCGCGATGTACACATATAAAAGGTGCATTTACCATGTACAATATTTGATATGGCTCACGTTGGACATTTGCTTTTTATATTCAAGTCGTAACTGTCTGTCGTAATCGTATATGTTTTCATCGTTGTTAATACTAACATAGAAAGAGTTTTAAGAGCTTACGTGTCAGTGCTCATTCAAGAGGAAAAAAGAAAAAGAAATGCTCGTTCGCGTATATTCCATTTATCCGTGGATGGATATTTATGCGTGAATATTTATTTTCGTCTTTTTTTTCGAAATTCATATTTGTCGAATTTTTTTTCATAAAACACTCCTGCGACTCAAAGCATGTACACTGAGAAAAAATAATTGTTAAACTACTTGTTGACTAAATTATAAACATTTAATTAAATTATTAGTTTTTTAATTGAAATATTTAACTATTTAAATTAAATAATACATATTAAATCTACATTCTCTCACATGACATCTGTTTAACTAAAATATTTAATTAAATATTTCAATTAAAAAAATAATAATAAATAAAATAAATTTAATTAAATAGTTTGCTCAAGTTAACTTTTTTTCTCAATATATCAAAACTGTAACCGAGAGAGTATAAATTAATAATTATAATTATGTAAAAAATATGTATATAAAATCCACATTTGATAAAATTAGAATTTATAATTTTAAAACATTTTTATCAAAATTTGTTTTTTTCGGTCTCTATAAATTTGATGGATTTTTCTTCAGGTCTATCTAAGTAAGAGTTTATGCAATCTCTTTTTCGGTTTGCTATTGCGCGATTTACTTGTCGAGGTCACGTGTATCCGTTCTGAACTTTCTTATCTGAATCTCGTAGAGATCCGATGCATTCTTTATTCCAGCAGCTTTCATTACTTTGGAGCAAATCTAAGGACATTCGGGGAATAATAACGGAATGGAAGTAAAATGTCTCAATTGCACAGATTTATTATTACTTCAGTGTAATTTATGGAATCCATTGGAATCGGAGCTCGAGTATTCGTGGTACGTTTGTCAAATGGATAAAAACGAGGATGGTTCTTAACCCTCGGAGCGTCCGCGTTTGATAACGGAACATTAATGTGCGCTATGTAAAAAGTCAATCCTTCGCTAATATTGATCATTTAAATGATTTAGATTTTTCTTTAAATTATCGCAGTCTTGAATATCATTTCAAGCTATTCACTCAATGGCTTCTTCGTCTTTTTCATAATTATATTAAATATAATATATATTTCAAGATTTATTATTTCATACAGAATTTATTCTTAGGAAATATTAAATTCATAATAAATTACACAAAGTTCAAAATAAAATATTGAAAATGTTAAACAAAGAGAGATATATTTCACAATATCTATTGCATGTTTAATAAATAAATGTTTATTTATTTATTGTAATTAATGTATTTATTATAAATAATGTATATTTACTTATTCTAACGTATATTTATATCTTAAGTAAATATAATATTTACTAAGTATTAAATAAATGTAATATTTAGTAACAATAAAAACTTTATAATTTTTATATTCATTTAAGTTTATAGATACACATTTTCTCTTTAATAATATTATTTTAAATTATCGTATTCTTTTCTCCCTTTATTTTTAAAGATGTGAAATTTATAATTAAAATTTTTGTTTGATTTTCAATTATAATTTATTAATTTTTATGTACTTATTTTATACTTTATATATTTATATATTATAATTTTTATATGTCTGTATAATTACCTTTTCCCTTCAGATAATAATTATGATTAAATTTTATTGCAGTATTATTTATGCATTTCGCAGCGGAAAGAATCCATTGTTCTCGAGACATAACGGGCGTGGAAGCATATATCGGTGACGACCATTTATTTACGAATACGCCGTGTGTATGGAAGGTATATAAAGATATAAAACAGGTATACGGAAGTTGGAGTAGTCCTTGCGCCGTGCGGAGCGTGAAACAACACGAAGAAAGTAAGTATCTCGCGCAGAGACGAAAGATATTTCAGGGGGTGCTTGGAAAATAAAGCAGGGGCAGAAATAAAGTGGATAAACCCAGTTCGACAAACGGGAATGCAATGAAAATATTTAAGCTCGATCGAAGCTCGAGAAAGGGTCCTCTTGAAGCATAAGGAGGGAGTTGCTCGCTCTTTCGTTCGGCCAGAAAATTAAGAGCGGATATCGCCTCGCCGTAAAAGGGACGAGGGAAAATATGTATGTATGTATTGTATTTTTCGCGGTCGAGCCAACGGCTTATATAAAAGAGAATGGGACGAAAAATATGGCGTACCCGGCGCAGGAATGTACCGTAGGAAAAATGTGCTCGTGCTTGCGACGCGCATTTAGTATTCCTATGATGTTTCCTCGCAGAACTGGCGCGGAGGAAGATCTTGTTGGCAACCGTCTCGGGCGCCAGATTCTCCAGGGACGTTTGCTTCGTCCGTGTGCGAAAAAAAAAAGAAAGAAAGGAAGCAAAACAGTTAAAAGAGATACGGACCAACGTCTGGTACTTTAATTTCGCCTGTGTCGTCGACCGTCGATGTGAGATTCTTATCTCGCGCTGATATTGAATATATATTGAGGATATTCCTCGTATCGGAACAAGATAAATCGCTCTTGGAGCTAAACCCGATCGTGAGAATGCGAATTGATAAATGCAGGGGACACGCGAGCCGGACTCGCGTTTAAAAATTGTCGAAAATTTTTGACGAGAAATACGAGAAAGCAACTTTTTTCGCTTCGTAAATTTCGCCAGTAGGTAAAACCAGTCACTTTGTTCAAACATGACACGCGTGTCCTCGACAGGTTAAACACATTTGAGAGAAGAGATTTCGTTTTATCCTTGAACGGTAATTTTTAACCTATTTTTTTGCGCAACCTATATATAAATACCTTTCTTTTTTACTAATTGCTCGTACTCGCGTATTTAGGCGCATTAATACAGCCTCGAGAACGATGCGTATTTTCGCATTTAGTTCTTTCACGGGCGATGTATTTTGCGCAATCTCGGCTATGCAGATCGAGCACTCAAAGCGATATTATCCGGCGCGATAAAAAAAATCCTCGGAATACTCTGCGCAAAGTGCATACGTATATTAAGATTCGCTTTGTGGAATAATGCATCGTTGCAGAAACTATCGTATTCGCTTTATCCCTGAGTTAGATTTGAAGGGAAGCTATTTAAAAAGGATAGACGGAGCGCGTTAAGCCGATTGGAACCCTCGAAAGTCTAACAAAGCAGAGTTGGAAAAAATAATTTTCCCAAGTCCGATAAGAGAGATCTGTGCGCGAAATCTTTTCTCTCTTATTGCATAATTTTTAAAATGTACAGAACAAATTATTTCATATTTTAACGGCTCGATATCGAATGACATTAGTAGCGTTTCAGCAAAGCTATTAATATGAGCCGTTTCGAATGTGTCACTTCTCGGGGAAATGCGCGAAATCTTTTCTCTCTTATTGCATAATTTTTTAAATGTACAGAACAAATTATTTCATATTTTAACGCTCGATATCGAATAACATTATTAGTAGCGTTTCAGCAAAGCTATTAATGTGAGCCGTATCGAATGTGTCACTTCTCGGGGAAAAAAATGAGATTTTGATCCAAAATCGATGACTTCGCTGAGCGAAAAGATGACGAGATTTTTCGATAAGATTTTCCTCGACAACTTATCGACCACTTGAAAT